CAAGAAATAATCATAACATCGTGGGCAAAGATAATGACAAAAAACATTAGGCCACATGTTATGGTAGGCAAATCGGCCTCAGGACCAATACAAGGACTCTTGGCTCTTCTTGCTAACCTGCTTTTTCCTGTCTCTGAAATTAATGGTACGTATATTTGTAGACTTATTATGCCATAATATTGCCCGTAAGGTTGGTGATCACCATTCTCGGTGGAATAGTTTTTAATTTTTTCTTCTAGGATAATTACATTTACGAATTTTGAAGAAGATCCAAGTGTTTTATTACTATTATTATTATAATTAAAATATTTAACATAATATTCACCTTTGTTCTATTTATTACAATGAGAATATACATGCATTTAAACCATGAAATGAGAACTCATATAATCGAATTTTACTTATTCTACATAATATTTTCCTGAAATATCTAAATTTGAAGAAAAAATTTAACAAGATTCCTTTGTTTTTTTTTCTTATAAGGAAAATAAAAATTCTTATCTAGTGATCATATAACATCTTTGTATTTAGCTTTGTATTTTGGAAATGGAGGAAGTTGAATTATTGCTTATGATGTAGAATTCCAAGAATGCGAGGACAAGGAAGAGTGGGCTCCCGTCAAGTAGAAAAACTGAGGCCAGCCAGTTAATTTCTTATCATCACCAATAGCCACACGCCTCTCTTACCCATTCATACTCCCAAAAGGGTACCCTTAAATTTACAAAATCACACCCCAAATATGCTTAGCGTGTTCATCTGAAAATACTCGATAAAATTTATATATATATATATATATATATATATATATATATATATAATTAGCGAATATATAGAGATTTTGAATCTCTTGAATACAAGATTAGAGGTTGCCTCATCGATTTAGAATTCAATATTCACCTTAAGGTTCCAACTTCACAATCTTATGCACTGGACCACGTTACTAATAACCAATACTTTTATAATTTTTCATAATTGCTCTCTTAACTAAATCATTTTTAAGAAACCTCAAAAATTACTATTTATTTATATTTCACCCATATCCAAGTTGTTTATTAAATAACTATACCATTTTATGTTGTTTTCTAGTATAATAATCTTAATTAATTCGGTCATTGCAATAACACATTATTTATAAATTTCACTTCACCGTATCCATTCCCTTTTTATGGTCACCTGACACCAACTTGCTACAATGTTTGAAAAGTGTAACGGTAAAAGGGAAAATTCTTGTCCAAACTTATTTTAACATTAACGACCCTTTGCAACAATCAAGAGTCCACTAAACGTTTTGCCACACATCCATTTACTCCCACAGCTCTACAAAATGCTCTGACATCTCTTTTGCAACTTCCAAAATGGCATCTTTTTCTATCAAATTTTTGGCACCTTCATTGCCAAATCCAACTAGATTTTCCAAGAGTAGTATTGTCAAGCTCAATGCAACTCCGCCGCAGACAGTGGCTGCGGCGGGGCCTCCAGAGGTTGCTGCTGAGAGACTAGAACCAAGAGTTGAGGAAAAAGATGGATATTGGATACTAAAAGAGCAGTTTAGGCAAGGAATTAATCCTCAAGAGAAGGTGAAGATTGAGAAGGAACCTATGAAGTTGTTCATGGAAAATGGTATTGAGGAGTTAGCTAAGATTCCAATTGAAGAGATAGATCAATCAAAGCTTACTAAGGATGACATTGATGTTAGGCTCAAGTGGCTTGGCCTCTTCCATAGGAGAAAGAATCAATGTAAGTACTCAACCTCAACTCCACACCATATGTAATAACTAACTCAACTATCAAAAGTTGATTCAAAATTTAAACTTTATAGATTCAGAAACTCGATATATACTATATGTTACGGCAATGACACTTGAGGGTTTAAATAATTTTAAATATGAATTTGTGATTAGATTTGATATCCAAATTCATAGTCAAATGTAAAAAGTTTTGACTCTCGAAATCTGAGCGATAACACACATAAATTGGAACAAAGTGAGTATTTGGTTTGGTAGTATAATTTTTCACATGCATATCTATATTGGGTTGAATCCATCATTTTTCACAAGAACATCCGCCTCTATCACCTACATCTCAACCCTCCATATTACATTATAAAACACTGATTTTCTTTACCAAATTTGTGTGACCAGATGGGAGATTCATGATGAGGTTGAAACTTCCAAATGGAGTAACAACAAGTGCTCAGACTCGATATTTGGCGAGTGTGATAAGGAAATATGGAGAGGAAGGATGTGCTGATATTACGACAAGGCAAAATTGGCAGATTCGTGGAGTAGTGCTGCCTGATGTGCCTGAGATTCTAAAGGGACTTGAAGAAGTTGGCTTGACTAGTTTGCAGAGTGGCATGGATAATGTCAGGAATCCAGTTGGAAATCCTCTGGCTGGAATTGATCCTGAAGAAATAGTTGACACAAGACCTTACACTAATTTGCTCTCCCAATTTATCACTGGTAATTCACGAGGCAATCCGGCTGTTTCTAACTTGTAAGTCTTCCATACACAGAATATAGGTTTTCCTATGCTATAATCATTTTGTTGTGTGAGAAAATTAGAGTGGTTTCAATTTGCAATGTTTGTAGGCCAAGGAAGTGGAATCCGTGTGTAGTAGGGTCTCATGATCTTTATGAGCACCCTCATATCAATGATCTTGCATACATGCCTGCCATAAAAGATGGACGATTTGGATTCAACCTGCTTGTGGGAGGGTTCTTCAGTGCCAAAAGATGTGATGAGGCAATTCCTCTTGATGCATGGGTTCCAGCCGATGATGTTGTTCCGGTTTGCAAGGCAATACTGGAAGCTTTTAGAGACCTTGGGTTCAGAGGGAACAGGCAGAAGTGTAGAATGATGTGGTTGATCGATGAACTGGTGAGTGATACATTGACCATTTTCATGCATATTTTGTCTTAAGTTTTAACAATTGGCCTCAACAAAGTTTTCTAATTTGATAGTTTTCTGTAGCAAGTCCTACTTCATGTAATGGTGAAAACTGATTGAAGGGTATCTGTCACATGCCTTATCAGAATTTTCGTTAAACTTGCTCCAATTTCAACTAATGCAGGGTGTAGAAGGATTCAGGGCAGAGGTCGTAAAGAGAATGCCTCAGCAAGAGCTAGAGAGAGCATCTCCGGAAGACTTGGTTCAGAAACAATGGGAAAGAAGAGATTATCTTGGTGTACATCCACAGAAACAGGAAGGCTATAGCTTTATTGGTCTTCACATTCCAGTGGGTCGTGTCCAAGCAGACGACATGGATGATCTAGCTCGTTTGGCTGATGAGTACGGCTCAGGAGAGCTACGGCTGACTGTGGAACAGAACATTATTATTCCCAACATTGAGAACTCAAAGATTGACGCACTGCTAAAAGAGCCTATTTTGAGCAAATTTTCACCTGATCCACCTATTCTCATGAAAGGTTTAGTGGCTTGTACTGGTAACCAGTTTTGTGGACAAGCCATTATTGAAACGAAAGCTCGTTCCCTGAAGATCACCGAAGAGGTTCAAAGGCAAGTATCTCTAACGAGGCCAGTAAGGATGCACTGGACAGGCTGCCCAAATACGTGTGCACAAGTTCAAGTTGCAGACATTGGATTCATGGGATGCCTGACTAGAGATAAAGACAAGAAGACTGTGGAAGGCGCCGATGTTTTCTTAGGAGGCAGAATAGGGAGTGACTCACATTTGGGTGAAGTATACAAGAAGGCAGTTCCTTGTGATGAATTAGTACCACTTATTGTGGACTTACTTATTAAGAACTTTGGTGCAGTTCCACGAGAAAGAGAAGAAACAGAAGATTAATAAAATTTGGATTAGATCATAATGATGGAATGTGCAATTATGTTTAGTGATTATGGAGGTATATAGCTAAGAGCTGGTTTGAATAATCAGAAATATGTTGTGTTCATATCATTTATTGTACGATAAATCAACACAAACATTCCTACTTACCTGAGAATTATTACAAACTATATTCTTTTGAAGCAAATTGCATCCATCCTCCTCTATTGAACATTATTAATACCGTGTTGTTCCTTGTAACTGCAATATCATTTTTTTTTCCAGATGTCATGCTTCTTTGAGTCAGTTCTTGCAAGAGATTTGCTAGCAAAAACTGATACTCAGAAATCACTATGCATCGCGATTACATGGTTTCAATCTTTGTAGTTGCAAAACATGTTGCAGTGACTAATGATTACCAAGAGACAGCAAGAAAGAACAAAATTTCCTTGTTTCTTCAACTTCCTTCCTTCAAGAACCAGTTTTATTTTCTTTTTTTTGGCTCCCTGAAAGAATATACTAGAAAGATATTATATCTCTTTTATTTTCCTTATTCGTTTTTGTAAAAAAGGAAAAGAGAATTCAGTCTCTTTACAAGATATGGAAAGGTTAAAATTGGAGAATTTGGTTTCTATAAAAAACAAAAGTCGGTAAATTTCTACCCAAAAACTATATAATTCTAATCCTAATCCATTAAGGAAACGAATTATAATCAACAAATTTTAATTCCTATCAACTTTAGGAAAGATGTTACCTTCTATAAATATAGTATCTTTTTCACGTCTCCTCATAGTTTTGCCTTACAACCCTAATCTCTTTTGTTCTCCTTAATTTCTTTCTCTTTCTCTGCTTTGATGGCTTCTTACCAATGCAGCAGCCGTTGTTTATTGATCTTGTTGTTACTCTCTTCCTGTCTTCTTATTGTTTCTTCTTTCACTATAGCGAAAGAAGCGGTACCACTTGGTCCGTTTGATTCCATGTACAATTTAGGGGATGCTGATTCTTCTTTGTCATCATCATCAGCTAATCATATTGCTGTGACCCTCAATTTGCCTTCTCCACAACCCTACACTCAAGAAGGCACTGAATTCGTAGAGTCTGGCCTGAATTTTGCGACCCCTGGAGCAACCATCATGAAACCCTTTTTCTTCCTCAAGAATGGCATCCCACCACCTTCTCAGTCTCATGACCCATCACAGATTGTCACATTCATGAAGGTCTTTTATAAACATTGCTTCAGCTTTCATGACTGTGGAAAAAACAAGCTTCTTCAGAAGGCACTCATCTTTATGGATCAACCCAGCATCAACGACTACAAGCAGGCCTTCTTACATGGAAAATCTATTTCTGAGGTGTCCCATCTCGTGCCTGAAGTGGTGGAGACCATTAAGAATTCAGTAGAAAGACTCGTCAAAGAAGCTGAAGCAAAAACTGTTGTGGTTTCTGGAATTGTACCCATGGGCTGCTTTCCGGGTTATCGGACTCTGTTTACTGAGGGCGATTCAATTGACAAAAGCAGATGCCACAAGGGACTGAATATGTTCGCAAAGCTTCACAATGATCACCTTTGGCAAGCAATTCTGGAGCTGCGTATGAAATACCCTGATGTTCACATCATATATGCAGATTACTACAAAGCGTTCATGGACCTTCTAAAGAACCATACCTTTCTAGGATTCAAAAAGAATACTTTGATGAAGGCATGTTGTGGCAGTGGTGATGGTCTGTTCAACTTTGATATGCAAAAGATGTGTGGAGATGACGGAGCTGCTACATGTTCTGATAGGGCTTCTTATATACATTGGGATGGATTTCAACTGACCCCTGAGGCTTTGGAGAACCTGATTGATACACTCTTCAGCCATAAAGGGTTCATATTTCCAGAATCCAAGTTTGGAGAAGATACAGCAGCATTAGAAGGGCATCATTCCAGGAACCATGGAGGAGTCAAAGACATGTCTTCTATTGTGAGGCATTTACTCTTCGTCTAAGATAGTTGTTTATGTTCAGTTACATCTCAGTAAATAGTATGGGTTCAAAGAGTAGGCCCTGAGTGATTCATATATATGTACAGGGGAATGCCCCTCTTAGCTTCTGTAACAACTAACTATACTTTTGAGTTTTATCAAATAAATGTATCCTGATTTGATTCAAATATTATTCTAGAGATGATTTAAATGCTTATTAAGTACCCTGTTTATCTTGTTGTGTTATCTTTCAACCTTATTCTTAAGCCAGAGATTAACAACTAAGGGTTTGACTGTTTGTAAGAAGCTTAGAATCAGAAAGGACTTAAAATGGTGGATAACTCAAATGCCCTCTTTACCAACTCAAACTTGGATTATACCAAACTTGGGTGCTCAAATAATCTATTGAATCTTCTTTTACCGTTCTGGTCTACTGTTTATCACATGCTCCACTTCCATACTTACCATCAAGGTTCCAATAATATCTATCTAAGATGACGTAAGAGACTGAACACAATGTCACCTGCAAACTTTGCACATATTTTCGTTATCAGTTCAGATATGCTCCACAATCTGAGAACATTCCCTCTCATAAGGAGCACTTCTACTGTCCTACCATGCTCGACGCGTATGATAAATGTCACCTCCCAATCCAGAGAAAACCTCAGTCATGCAGGGGCATCAAGTCAATGGCAAGAGGTCTTTTTTCCAAATGGATAACCTCAAAACTCATAGGAATCCAATTACAGTGAGAACAAAGTAAAAGCAATACAGCAGAGATATACTTCTGTGAAAGGACGTGTACACTGAGGATAAATATAAAAATGTTTACAATGACAATTATTAACTGCGGTACCTATTTTTCAATTGCAAAGAAGCTTTCACTTTCTGCACTAGAACTAAAAACCAAAGCCCCTCCTGAAGCGAAAACCAAATACCTTAGAACTCGGTCGTCCAATAGCCAATCAATTGATTGCTGTAGTAAAATTTGCCAAAAGTAGCGATTTGCCCCTAATAAAAATAATTTCATCAGTCAACAATACTGGCTTGCAAATATCATATTTCCTAAACTATGAAAGAAACTTCCAATGGCAACACAGTGATACCCAAAACAAAGAATCACTTGCATTGCTGTCCTGACAACATTTAACAGTTTGAATATTAAAGGCAACTCGTGTTTCTATTAACAACATTTTAGAGATTTATAATTGAAGAATTCCACATCAAAAGGTTAAGTCAATTACTTAAATGGTCAAATATTGAAGAGAAACCTTAATCACAGAGACTATTATAAAGGGATTACAAGTATACTTAAGCATAGTTAAGAAACCACACATTATTGGATGTCTTTGTCATCATAACATTTACATTAAGCCTAAATGTATTTCAAACAGCCTTTGAAGTTGGAAGCTCAAATTGTTGCTGAAAGTATTCAAGAGCTGCCAAGAGAAACCTCTTCTCTGAGTAAGCATTACAATCAAGACCTTAGCATAGAGGACATTCATTTAATTGGAAAGGAAGTAAAAAAGGGCACAAATTTAGCTTAATGCACTTCACAAGGAATACGAGTTTTGACTCTCAGAACTATTAATCTATTATCATTAATGGAAACCTTTTATAGACCGAGATTCAGTGCAGGCAGACTTACTACTACCAAGTGCAAAAGATTGCATTCAAGATTCCCTTTGACCCTTGAAATATGAAAAGAGCAAACATGAACCTTACAGTAGACAAAAATATGTCTCAAGCAAATAAAACGCCCAGCAAAATTTTCTCCCTTTCTCATTCATAAAACACCAATTGTCAAGTATTGGCACCTGTATTATTTTTCTTTATTGATAACCAAAAGAAAAGTGCATGTATCATTTTTAGGGCACAAAGTAGCAGCGAGTTTCAATACGGAAATGAATTTAATTTTAGGAGAACAAATATTATTACCGGTTCAAATACTTGTCGCCAAAAAGTTACTACAGTCTATTCTGTTCAGGATCAGCAACTACTGAATCAGGCAGCGTCGTTTCTGCTGACTTCCTAGGCCTTCTATACCAGAGGAAAGCAAACCACAAAGTCCTGAACAATGCCCCATTTGCAAGGTGTGGGATAAAAATTCGACCCCAATATGGATAATATGGTCCTGGCAACTTTAGCAGTGTGAAGAAAAGGCCAATGACGATCAAATGCCAAGGAACATCTGCATTCTAACATTGTAAACAGAGCAAGAAACATGTCAGAACACAACCAGAATCCGTTCATGTCGTTCTATTCTTGGACAAAGCAGCAGAACAATTCTACACATATAGCGCAAACATGTGACCATCATTGCAAAAAGCCAAACCGGGATAAGTTGAAGTTAGCAGGAAAAAGTAACAAGGATATGCAAACAGAATAACATAGAGACGGAAGAGTCTGTTATTGTAGAAAATAATTGCGAACATTTTTTCAATTTAGTTTCTAAGTTTTACCAACTAGGTAGTGAAACTCTAGAGGGAATCTAATAGATTTTCGTTTTGTTTGAGAAATGATCTAATAGATGCATTTAAATTGGTAATATTTGATATATTATTTATGTAGAAGACATAATTAAGTAAAACGAAAGTGAGCTTTCCCCTACAACACAAGCTTTTAGATGAGATGTTCACACACTTTAACAACATGCATGAATCAGAACTGTATCAGCAACATGGAATTTAACCATCAACAGTCTTCTACTGGAATTTCATGTGCAATGTAGAGCAAAAACGATCACCTTGAGATATGGAGATGACTCCAAAGCTGCTGACTTTAAGATGCCAGCAATAGCAACACCAGCAAGAAAAGGAAGCAGGGTGATATAAAGCTTCCTCTCATGTGCACAGTAAGACAACTCACTGATTGAGGTAACTACAAGTACGGGTACATACAAATATTTGGTAACTGTCAAAACAATGTCAAGAATAAGTTGAACAAAATGGTCCAGAGCTCTATTCCAAGGGAAACTCTTGACAGGTGCAGGAGTATTGTCCCACAATTTCCTTGCCTGGTCTATTACGTTCTCCAAGTTAAATTTGTGAGGTTCATCTGATCGTCCAGCTGCTATGTTCATATTGCAGATTATTTTAGGTCTTGAAATCGGACGTGTCCCATTTGATCTGATGCTCAAATAGCACGTACTAGACTTAGTCAACAATGGTAAAATCTGCCAAAGATAGAATGAGACTGTCATCCAGATTGCGTAAACCGGAGAAAAGAAGCAAACAAGGAAAAGATGAATAACAAGAACGACAACGATAACAATAAAGTAAGAGCAACAAAAGCAAGAAAAGAACCAAAAAAAAAAAGAAACAATAGTAATTGTACTAGTAGTAGTGGGCACTGGGCAAAGAACAACCACTAACCTAGTAATCCAAATGAAGGGCTACAAACTTTCTCAAATTAAATTATCAAACAAAAAATGGAATGAAGTAAGCGTACATTCCCATTTGGATGTAAACATAGAATTATCATGGTTTCCATACAACAAGAAGCTGAACAAATGACTTAAAGAAGAACAAACAGAAGAGCCTATCAAGTTTCAACAACCAGCTCTACATGGATATGAAAATATATCAACAACAACATACCCAGAATAATTCCACAAGTAGGGTAGAGTGAACACAAACAATACAAAATGTCTCTGTGCCATAAATAAAGAAACATTCCACTAATTGCCAAGAAATCCAATTCTTTAAATCCAGAATCAGATACATGCTTAAATATTTCAAGAAACACATATGTCTACGCCACGAATTTAAGGAATTCAATAAAAACCAGAACTCTATAAGTGGGTGCAATTCTCAATTTATATACATGGAAGAAAACGAAGTCTAATAATAATGGGGAAAATATATTAAAGGAAGTAGGTAATGTTGGTCACCTGAACACCATTAGCGAGTGGAGAATTGAGTTTGAGAGCCATCATAGCAGGGAACTGGGTTTGTGTAACTGCCATGAAAGATAAGGTCTTCTCCACATGAAATTGAGGGGTTTAAGGGATGGGTTCTTGGAGCTTGGGAGAGTGGTGCCGGATCCGGGTAATACCCACTCCTTAGATGGGCCGTGTATTTAAAAGAAATTGAAATAGAAAAAGACGAATATACCCCCATTTTATAATTTAAGTCATATTGAATTAGTTTATTTTAAAATAAAAATAATTGTAAATTGGCTGCCACGTGTCCTTAAAATTTACTTTATCCATTTTTTTAATTTGCAGGGGTAAGCAAAACAGGTAAGGTGTTCTTTTCAAGAAACATGCAATTTTTGGAACTAAAAAAAAGATGAATTTTAGAATTATTGTTTTTAACGAAGAATATATCATACCCGAGTCACAAATTAGTCCCTTTTCCTTTTGAAAATTAAAGAAGTCATAAACATTATCTAGTTTTGAGTTTAAGATTGATTATTTTTTTCCGATGAATATCGAGCCCGCCCACTATTCTCTTTTAACTTCTCCTTAGATGTTCCATTTTAGAAGGAAATTATTACTTGGTTTTTGTTAACGATTATTTAGACATGATCATTTGATAGTTAATTTAATTTTGATTAGTTTCATTAGAAAAAGGTAGTAATTTGCCAAAAATATGACCAAAATGATTTAGTACAAAACTCTTATTAAAATGCGCATTACTGGTCCATACTTGACATTATTTGGTTTTATTCAAATATGACTCCAAGTTGCCAACGCCGTGGGGTTAATTGCTTTGCATGAACAAGACTAAACAAAAGGAGAGAAAAAAAATGGATACAATACAGCACCCACATCCACCCCTGTTCAACTTTATCTATGGCACATAATTTCCTTCTGGGGATTTAAATAATGTAGGATACAACTGATGACTAAGCCGGGAGCCCAAAACTTCTACAGCAAGCAAAACTTGTTGGAAAATAATATGACTTCACAAATACCTGCAAGGAAGGCTGGATACAAAAGAAAACAGAAATGTCAAAAGATGTTCAGGGCTGCCTTTCAAATCATATACGGATTCCGACATATTGCTCAACCATGGGAGGGGGACAGAGTGGTAACTAAACCAAAGAGTTTATAAGGCTCTTTGGACCATTATTTGCTCTCAGTGACTAGATCAGCTAGAATCAGGTCTAGCAGAGTATGGACAAATTGAAAATATCTGAAGTTGATACTTGAATTTGAGCATCAAGATGCATAATTTGACTCATCAATATTCTTTTTGGGGGAAGAAATCACTTAAGAGTTTAGTCTTTGCGGGGAATTGAATCTGAGACCTTATGATGCTCGGTCCACTTTATAGACTATTAGGCCTCACCTTGGGTGCAACTCAACAATATTCTACATAAAACCTAATTCAAATTACAAGCATAGAGAAAAAAAATCGAGAAAAATGATTATTTCGTTACTTAATTGAAAAACTTGTGCAGAACGGGCAGATTTTAACTAGTACCAGTACATACATACTCATGTTGCTTCACAAAAAAGCAATTGCAAGACGAAAGAGCTTTACCATCAGGAGAACTGAAACACAAAAATTGTTCTACGGAAACAGAGGCAGGCAACCGAGTCCCAAGTTCTCTGGAATTCCCATCATTAAGTTAAGATTTTGTAAGGCTTGTCCAGAAGCTCCCTTAACAAGATTATCAATCTACAAAAGGCAATTGGGAGTTCAAATTTAATAACCAACACCCAATCTAACAA